TTTAAATTTAATCCTGTTTGAAATTACTGAAAGTCCTTTCGCCGGTCATGCATCCATAGAGACTGAATAGACGTGGCCTGTGGGAACGTCACGGGAGTACCCGACGGCCTTTAAATGCGACGCTGCCTATTGTCATGCATCCATTCCGTTACATGTCGAAGAAACGGGCAGCGCCGCCGTTAGCTCCGGCGCCCTTTCGCCGGCGCTTATGGCTGTGTCTTGAACTCGTCGCAGCCATCTCAGTCCTCGCTTTCCTTTTCGTCCTTCTAAGGATTCAGTCCTACGCACCCAACCCACCGACGCCTACGCTTCTTTACCGAGACCCTATTCCTTTTTCCGGTCAACCGAAGATCGCTTTCCTCTTCCTCGCCCGCGCGGGCCTGCGCCTTGATTTCGTTTGGCATAACTTCTTCAAGGTATCCCGTTCGACTTTCTATGTTATGGAAATTTTGGATTTTAGATTATGATTATTATTATTTTTTGTTGTCATGGTGTTTGTTAGAATGCTGGAGCAGGGAATATCTCTATATATGTTCACTCGAAGCCGGGGTTCAAGTTTGATCAGTCGACGACGAGGTCAGCCTTCTTCTACGGCCGTCATGTAGAGGATAGCGTGCAGGTTTTCGATCGGCCGTCGTTTTGCTCAAGTTTTTTTTTGTTTTATTTTTGAAGTTTCGGTGTTTCTCTTTTATTCTGGAGGACTATTTGTTGTTTTTGATGTAGGTGAAGTGGGGGGAGGCCAGCATGATTGAAGCTGAGCGGTTGCTGCTTAGAGCAGCTCTACAGGATCCTGCAAACCAACGTTTTGTTTTGCTTTCTGATAGGTGCTCTTTTATTTAACTTGAAATAGTAGAAGCTTTCCTTTCTCAAATGGGTCAGTGGAAGTTGGGAGATCGTCTTCCAAGTGATACTTGACAACCTATCACTTGGATGACACCGAAGATTTTTCTATTTTTTTTCACACGAAAAGAATATATTTTGAAGAATATATATATATATATATATATATATA